TTTTCTCGGGCCATTATCTCCGTAACCGTTCAACTTTGGACATAGGTGTTTTGGGTTATATCGGCATACTTTAACATAAGGAACACCCTCCCGAAGTTTGGTCCATTCCTCCTGGGACACCCTGTATATGTATGTATATACATACTGCATTGGTTCTTTTGTAAAACAACAACTAATACTCCTGACTGAATACATACCTAAGGCTTCTTCAAAATCAGCATTGCTTAATGCGACATCTGGAGAGTTCTGTTCATCACAGGAGGTTACTTTCATACGTTTGAAATTATTTCTGCAACACAATGTCAGAATTTCAGAATTACTGGGGGTTTCTACTTCGTTCATTCCCTGGTATTCTAGAAACTAGAAAACACAATATTTCAGAAACTGGATCTGTGTTCGTCCTCTGGTGAGGGACGGGAGATAACAACTGAGTTGGCACCCTCGGAAAGAACTAACCTCAATCACTGGACCACTGGGAGATTTGCATCACATGAGGAAAGTTATACAACTGAGGGTCTTGGCTAGTTGAATTTTTATGTGTTCTAATTTCCTAAGGATGGGTATATAGTGGGTAGATAACAGCTGTACAAGTAGATTCTAAGGGGTCCAGTGATCATGGTTAGAGCTTTCTAAGGGACCCAACTGAGTAGGTGTTTTCCTTCCTCACCTGTGAACAGAAAAAGATCAATTTTTCAAAACGTTGTCTTCTAGTTTTTAGAATACTGGACGATGGAAGAAGTCCAAAAATCCAGTAATTCTGTGTTATACACCATTGTCAGAACCCTTTAAAACCTAAATGTTAGCATTTGCTTGAATTTCTACAGCATTTAATGCATACACACCTATTCTTTGAATGCAGTCATCCATCTCCTACCATTGTGTGTACAAAACACAACCATCCCATTTAAGCTAAAATGTTAACAAGAGAACACAGTGGGGCTAAGCACACTGTTTTCAGTGTGTTAGCCTAAATATATACCCAGATCCAATGAAGCATTTACATAGTATTTATTGATGTTACATACTATTTAGGATTAAGATGGTAAGTATTGTCTTTCTAGATGACACATTACTCTTTATAAATTATGGGTGTATGTTCAGAATCTTTCATCTTCCAGTCTGCTATTCTTCTCCTTATCCTTATATAAAAAAATAATGTGACAGTGAGACAGATGTTATGAAATTACATAATTTTTTGCTACCAAAGCAACAAATTGTTGAGCGATAATATGTTGTATGAAGGTAAGCTATGTAGTGGGACATAAACAAGCATGCAGCCTTTTGTTTCAGTGTATACCAATACAATACTTAACATACACAAATTGTGTATATGTCACAAACATACCATTTGCTACTAAAAAGATAGAATATGATAAACCTGCATACAAAATGTCTATTACCAGAATATGCACTGTATCTAAAGTTGTCAAAATTAAGTGAAAACAAGATCTTTATTAAGAGACATTGATACACCCATACATACTAAAAATTTAAAACAATATAAATTCCTCAACAGAGTAAAAAGAGTGTTTCAATAGAAATGATTTAAGTCCTTCTTAAATAAATTAAATTTGCCCATAATTTTATCTGATCTGGAACCCTTACTGTACAAACTGATACCCATATCTAACACACGTTTCCTAAATAGGACTGTATTACAATGTTGTACATGTAGATTTAATTTTTTTCCTTTATTATGATTTTGGATATCCATGTCTTGTACCATGGAATTTTATACATTTTAATAAAACACACCATTCACCTCCATTCAGTGCCAAGATCAGGAATAGGTGTGCCTATACATACAAGGACTTTACCTTTTACTTTTAAAGATGCTGGGAAATTCTTGAGTAGCTGCAGATTTGACTTCTCAAGAAGAGCTCAGCTCCATAAGTACTCAGGTTCTCAGGTACTATACTGTTGCCATTCTGGTCAACTGTCCATATTAAATAATGATAAGCTTTTACTGAAAAATAAAAATTATTTGCAGACTTTCAGAGATATAACATACCTGACTGCGTGGGACACAAGAGCTGCCAGGTCTGCATAGATGAATCCTGAAGTCTGAGCCGCTACATGAGACAAATCAGCATTGACACTAACACCACACTTCTGTGAAATCCACTGAAGCATTGCTGTTCTCTGTAACTCATCTGGGCTCTGCATGTGTATCACATGAAGAAACAGTCGAGCCAGCGTGGGGAAGACAGCAGACTTCATTCGCACACAAATCATTACAGGTATATACTGACATCCAATACAGAGGTAGTCAATACAGACATTAGGGTTAATGGCCTCCATTTGAAGGGAGAGAAATGGCACATGAAGTTCAAAATTTATTTCAATTATATACCCTGCTATGATCTAATCCCTAGTTATATGTATGGGGGACTAAAATCTTGGTGGGTTATGGTCTCCTTACAAAATTTATGCATCAAGTGATGAGAGGTCAGTGATGTGCTTGGTAAACTGTAAGACATTGAAAAATATCAGAACAAACTCACCAGTACTTTAGAACCTACTCTATGAATCAAAAGAACACTTTAAAAAAATAAATTATGACTGTAAGAATTTGACAAAGAGTGCACTTATATAGAATATGAACTGTACACATTTTAGCCTATTTTTCTTTCTCAAGAGGAAAAGAATTAGGCTTACAAGAATGCTGTATGTCTGTCTGTCTCTCTTCAAACGTTTGAAACTAGTGCTACCACAGGTTATAACATTCTTGTATACTTAATAAACAGAAGTGCTTGCAGCCTGCCTCTAGTACACACAAATGAACAATCATGAAATGACAAAATTTGAACCAGTCAATGTTCTCAGATCAGCTGCTATTATGGTGTCTCCAGATGTGTGGTAGGAACAGTGGGGGCCCACTGCAAGTGATATGGCAATTATGACAGACAGTACAAATTCTGTATAAAATATTATTTATAAGTCAACATTTACAAACATGGAAACAGTGCAGTACTTTGAAGTTATATCTGGAAAATTTAACACAGAATATTTATGTAAATAACAGGTTCTTCCCCTAACATAAAATACTCTACTACTACTGCCACTAACAGTGCCAGCAGCAGCATATTTTGCCTTGGGTAAGATTGAATTGCCAGATAACCTGTACATGAGCCCAGCACGTTAAACTATATGGCAAACTGCATTATATTATATAATTTTCATCACACACACATAACCTTACAACACAAGTTTTGTAGGGCCTGAAGGAAACCAGGATCTGTGAGTTCTGCCTGTAAATTTTTATTTACCTTATTACTAACCTAATGACTTAGCGGCCTCCATAGTCTAGGGGTAACGTTCCCACCTCATAACTCAAGGTATGCGGGTTCAAAAACCTGGCGGAGGTCGTGGAATTTTTAAGGGCGGAAAAATTCGGGGAACAAGTCCTCCGGGAGGGCTTCAAGCCGTGGGTCCCGTGTCGTAGATTTACGGCACGTAAAAGAACCTCATGTCTCTAAGAGACCGCTGAGCTAAATTAGGCCAAACATTTCCCGCCCAAAGTAGTTTCCAATGCCTCCGGTAGGTGGGGAAGTATTAGGTACCACTGCCAGAGGAGGGACGACCTCTCTGACAGAAAGGGACTAAAGTATTAGATNATGACTTGTTCCTTTTTGAATGATAAAAAGGTCAAGATTTCCCTGTGCTTAATTAATTAAGCACTATGCCAGGAAGACATATTAGGGAGTGGAGTGCCACCAATCTTGACCTTGGCGCTACATGGAGGGGAATGGTCAGCTTCATGCCCCAGCCATTTTACCCCCGACATCCATTTGATAGGAGGCTGGGTGGACCCTGGAGCAGATCTGGGTTCTATGAAGAAGAGAGAAATCTTTCATATATAGGGAATTCAACCCTGGCTCTCCAGCCTGTAGCCTGTTGCTATACCAAATGGGCTATTCTGGGTTGTTTTTTTTTTTCAAATCATATATTCAGGTAAGTTATGGCTTGTACTGATCACTCCTGTTGGAGTAAAAAGTCTGCAACTTACTGCACATCCATTCTTGCTGTTGCATGTTGCCACCAGAATAACAGGAAAAGTCTTGGTTTCCTGGAACAGTTTCTCTACCTCACTAACAAAGGAGCTAACAGCTCGAGTGTCCTCTGTGCCATCCTTATCTCTGCACAGCACCTGAAAAGCATATATCATGCTGAACTAAAGGAAACCCAGTTTTGGGCATGAAAACCTGGATTCCATCTTTTCAAATTATTTAAGGATCCACGGGCAATTTCAAAGTTTTAAGGAAGATGTGGGAGTAAATAAATGTGGTACGTGAATGTGTACTTGGGATTCCCACTTGCACATTTACCCATATTTATACTCATGCAGAGCAGGTGGGAATACCTCCAATGTAGCTCTGCGAGTAGTAAAAGTAAGTAAAGTAAAGGAATCCCTGAAAAAGGCCATGAAGGCCCATAAGGTTGTGAGATATTGAGGCTCCCACATTATCTAGACAATTGGCTTAAAGACGGCGGTAAGGTTACCAGCCTTAAGCGATGGCCGCACATTACCCCCAAGGAAAATTATTTAATTAATTTCTGGTACTCATTGCTGTTAGAGGCTGAGTCAACCCCAGGGCCATAGTGCAGATGGAAGGATTAGGTCAACTGAAAATAATCCAATGACCCCATTGGGACTTGAACCTGCGACCTTCTAGCTTGTAGTATGGTGCCTCAACCAACTATGCTGCCGTGTGCCCTGCTCTGCAAGTAGTAGATGATGAAAAGGGAATACAGTGCCTGGGGTTATAACTGGACCACTCTGTCACTGGGGGCATAAATATATGAACCTGGTCCTCCAGGTTGGGGGTTGGATGCAAGACTGATGACTAGGGCTTGGATTTCTATGACCTAAAAACTTTGGAAATATGCATGGATTTATGCCCTAAAAATGGCAAAATATGACCTAAAATATGACAGAATGGCCCACAAAAAATAAGTAAATATTTAACAAAAATTCCTAAGAACAGCAATTTATTAAGAAGTTTACAAAGTTATTTTGTCCTGAATAAATATCTTTAAGCTCTGAAGCATCGATCACAGCACATTGCTGACCCCATAAAGAGAAAAGCTGAATGGCGTTTTATT